ACTTTGTTGCAATTCATCTTATTTCTTCTCTATCTCATCTCAGCGTTAGTGGCCTTCAGGTCAAACTGAATAGTCGGAGTGTGCATAGGAAGAGTGCTACTGTCTGCTTATGCCCTCTCAACTGAGTGAAGGCATACGGCAAAACTGGTGACGCAGCGAAGTAGCAAAATTTTTCACAATAAATCGCTTTTTATCTGTGTTGTTTGACCGGCGTACGTATAGCTGACCACGAGCTCGACCGACCAAAATAATCTGGAGCCTAATGTTAACCTGACTGCCCTTCATCCACCGATCTCTCCTGTCACAATGGAGCCTAGCTGCGTTTGCCGTAATCGCGAGCGCATTTGTGCATTTCATATTTTTGCGATGATTGCACCGATGGGTTCAGAGATAAGGAATTTTTCGAATGACTTCATTGACAGTGCAAAACCCGCTTGTTATTTTTTCAGTTTTTCTTAAAGTCGCTTCCAACGCGTAAGTAAAGACTTCTGACCACTGCTTATTGCCTTTTTTTATGCTTCGCCCTGTCCGCACTTTGTTTTCATGAGAGCAATTGCTTTTCGGCCAAACGTTCGATATTTGAACACACACCGCTAAGATCTTTACTGCATGATTGGGAATGATTGGGAAACAAACGTTCCATGCACTGCCCTGCCAAGAGTACTATGAGAAAAGCATGGATGGGGGATTATGCTTTTCCGATTCATTTGTTTTGGACCTCTTCCACGTTGCCATCCTCGTAGCTGACAGTCAAATAGTGCATTTTACGGGTTTGTGCTTTGCGGTGTTTTCAGTTCATCTGCGCGTTATCAATGAAATTGTCTCTTCTTTGTCTTCAAAATGCCTGTCTCATTTCAGTGGTTTTTTTTGGAAGTGCGAATGCTGTCATTTCGGATCAAAAATTGTATTGTTAGTACATCTTTAATTTTGCTCTCCTCCCTTGATCAGCACTGAGTAAACCCCGTCTGAATCGATATATCTTTCAGACTTATTTTGTCCAGGCTTTTAACTGCTCATGCGCAGAGTTGTTTTTCTAGCAACCACAGTGCTTTGCATTATAGTGGATTGTTTCACAGGTCCGGTTCTGTTTGAAATTCTATGTGCACATTTTTTTTCGCATAGTGAAGAAAAGTTTAGATGGGGGAGGGGGGGGGGGG